CACACACACACAAGTTATCTTTAGTTTAGCAGTCAAACCCTGAGAATTAGATCAATAAAAGTCTTTCCCACATTACAGTGTCACACACACACACACACACACACACACACACACACACTCCAACAACAGCAGCTCATGTGGGTGGTCGGTAGGTGTCAGTGTTGTGTATTAGATACTCTGTGTGTGTGGAAACAGATGTTGCAATGTGATTGGTCTGTGTTGTGATGATGCTCATGTGTTTTGTAATCTTCAGATGAGAGACTATGAGTGAGTTTAATGGCTGATTATGGTCTAATGCAGCCAAAACAGGAAAGATATTCATCCAGAATCTGTCTGTGTGGGGAATTATAGTGCTTCACTAACAGACTGAGTTGAATCATGTGCCCCTTACAAAAATTGACCATGGTAAACATAGTTTCTACCAAAATACAAATCTGTTAGTTGACAGATGACACAGAATTTAACTGTTTCATTGTCTGAATTTTAGTGTATTTATAGATGCTATAACTGGTTACCATTTTTGATCATCCTTTTAATCAAACTAGTTACTAGGCCCTGCAGTGTAAAATATTTTTTCAATGTACAAATATTTCCTGTAGTGTCTCATTTTTTGTGAACTAATGAAAACGACATGCACAATAATCATAGTAACACTTTACAGTAAAGTTACATTTGTTAACATCAGTTAATTATATTAGTTAACATGAACTAAAAAAAAGAAAAAAAAACTTTTAAAGCATTCATAAATCTTACTGTTCATTTCAAGATTTACTAATACATTATAAAAATCAAAAGCTGTATCTGTTAAAATTATTTAATGGACCTGAGCTAACATGGCCATGGCATAACAATAAACAGTTTAATTAACTAACCTTAACAAAGATTAATAAATACTGTAACAAATGTATTGTTTGTTTTACTAATGCATTGACTTGTAATTATTAATGCATTGACTAATGGAACCTTACTGTATAGTAAGTAAAAGTGTATTATAATAAAAGTACCGTATACATTTAGTTTGCTTTATATTAATACATTAAGTACAAGTAATGCAAGTAGTTTAAACTTAAGTTTCATAACACCAGTAGAGAAAGATCATAATTCATGATATATATATATATATATATATATATATATATATATATAATGTATTAAAATAATAGTTTAAATGGTTAGTTTAAATTATAAACCATTTACTAATATAAATAGTTCATAATATTTGGGCCAGTGGAACACTAAATTGAAGTGTCATGTCAGCCAGCCTAGTGCAGTTAATGTTACAGCTGTAAAATTATTATAAATTAATATGGTATCTCTTCAAACAGCAGAAGGTAACCGTGGTATTTTGGTGGACACTGGAAAACAGGAGTGAAATGCTAATTGTGTGTTATAAAAAAGATATCTTAATTTTGTAATCTTTTTTTTTAGTAGTGATGTAATATGTAATAATATATGTTAAATATAATATGCAGCAGCTAGGAAATTTCCCTAGATCAATGTGCTGTTCCTGTAATGCACCTCATGGTGGTGTGTGTGCACTGCAGACAGCTCGTGTGTGTGTGTGTGTGTGTGTGTGTGTGTGTGTGAGAGAGAGAGAGAGATGTAGGTTGTCAGTTCAGATGCAAAACCATCTGGCTACAGATTTTGCGGGGATTACAGTGAGACTGTGTGTGTGTTTGGGCTGCACAGTGTTTTTGTTAGTCAATGTTATTGGTCCATTATGTGTGTGCAAGCTTATGAAGGATGGTGTGTCTACATGTGTTTATGGGGTGAGGTGTATGCGTGTGTGTGTGTGTGTGTATGCATGTGTGTATGGAGAGGGGATATTAGACCCACAATTCTTTAACCCAATGTTGTCCAGAGAGGACCTGGTTTCATCTGTCTGACATGAAAGCAATCCTGAAACCTGTTCACCATATGAAAACACACACTTTCAACAAACTATTTTACACAAATTATTTTAAGATCATGCTGTCCTTTCCCTCATGTGTGTGTGGTACAGTATTTCTCTTGGGATGTTTACATTCCCATGATCCTTTGCTCCTCTTTCATCTGATGTCACTGTGGCTGAGACTATTGCTCTGAAATTCTACATGCGTGCTTCAGCAGTAATACATCATGTGAGATGTGTGCGTTTCATAGTGATGAGAATCTTATTTATGTATAATGTTAATTGTTTGTATGTGTGTTTAATGTTGTATTTGTGTGTTTCAGATGATGAGACTGGTATCATGGATGGTTTGTTGGAGGCACTACAGTCTGGAGCTGCTTTCAAGAGGAAGAGAGGACCACGACAAGCAGGTAACACACGCGTCCGATTTTTGATTTATCATGTGCAGGGATTGCTAGTGTTGAGGGAATACAAAATGCAGAAAGTCACTATATTAAAAGTCACAATGATAGATAAAAGAACAACATAGAAACAGGACACACACACACACATGCTAAGTTTGTGGGTTTGATTTCCAAGATAAATAATGTGTACTTTGAATGCACTTTGAATAAAAGCATCTCCCAAATGTAAATGTACAGTATCATTTATCAAAATTTTGGGGTCAATAAGATCTTTTTAAAGAAATTAATGGGGGTTTTTTTTCATCAAGGATGCATTAAATTGATCAAAAGTAACAGAAAATACATTTATAATGTTAAAAAATATCTATATTTCAAATAAATGCTATTCTTTTTAACTTTCTATCCATTAAAGAATTCTGAAGAAATAAATTACAGGAATAAATTATATTTTTTTATAATATTACTGTTTTTACTGTAATTTTGCTCAAATAAATGCACCCTTGGTGAGCAGAAGAGGCTTGTTTAAAAAAAAAACTTAACCACAAAGTGTGCAAAGTGCAATGCAAAGTGTGATTTTAGCATATGTCAATAGAGATGTTGTTCAGTACTGCACACGATAGTAAGCCATGTGTGCTTTATTTTCCCTCTTTTCACTGCATTTTACAAACAGTGTGGAGTAGCGCTGTGTGTGTGTAACTGGATCTGTTGTTGAATGGATCCAGATGTGTTGCTATGTCCATGCAGACTCACTCTCTCTCTCTCTCTCTCTCTCTCTCTCTCTCTCTCTCTCTCCCTCTCTCCC